AAATTTTTCCTGCCGAAGCTGGTCGTAACCCGAAATGTTCGTTAGTAGAGTCGTTCATAACCTGAGGTACCACTGTACTTATTTTTAGATAAGTAATCCCCATTCATTGTTCTGTTTGCAGACTTGATAATGGAGGTAGGATTATAAACCATAGATTTAAGAGATTTACAAAGACTACCTCGCACACCTTTTTTCTTCCTCAACACTGTCATTCTGTCCTGAAATGTATTTAAAATACCTCAAAGATCCTCCTTGATATTCTTCTGGAAGCAACTTCCCATCTCTTGCTTTTTTTGCTAGAGCCTAAGAAAGTAAGATCCAAATATAAATTATTTTAAATAATCATGAGTTTCAACAAAGTATGTATAATGAATATATAAATGTACTTTATATATTTGCATATTTGACTTGGTTGCTAATTTTATGAGAAACAGTGCTCAGTTGATTCAGACAGTTGCTACAATCTCTGAGAAGTAGTTAGAAGTCATAAATCTGGATCTTCTGGAAACAGGCCTCCAATGTGGAAAAAGAATCGTGGGTGTGGCAGATATACGTTCATGGAGATTCGGTTAGATTGCCTTTTAAATCTCCACATAAGTTGCCTTATGGATAGCACTTGTTGGTTATTTAACATCTATCAATGCCTTGTTTACAGAATCTAAAAATTGTAGATTCAAAAGCAATTACTATGCTATTGCTATAAATGAACACTTTTATATTAATAGGAAATCCCACCAAATGTCAACAGAAATGAGATCAAATCTCATAGAAGAATGTAAGCCTTGCAGCAGGATTTAGAACAGACAGGTGAGAATAATTCAGTGTTAATTTCCCTCAGGAGGCAATAAAACTCGTGAAAAATTATTACATACTGTAATTTCATATATCATATTTAGATACTTCAGAAATAAACAACAGCACTGCCTTCTGAATGCTTAAAAACAGGATAGTTATAGGACATATCTGAAAGATTAAAAAGGATGGCAATTAAGAATGATCTAGATGAGCGTTTCTTAAACGTTTTTCTCTCAGGACCCTTTCCCACTTAAAAAAAATTACAGAGGGGTCCAAAAGAGCTTGTGTTTATATGGGTTATATTTATCAATGTTTACTGTATTAAAAATTAAAATTGACACATTTGCTGCTGCACCGCTTTTCACAATTGTTTGATGGGATTTTAATATTGTATTATTTTTCAATATAGGCTGGCAAATAATTTTGATTTTGGGGACCCCTAAGAGGGTCTTGGGGGACCCCA